ACTAAGTGCATGCTTTTTCAACAGTCCGAAAAGTGAAAGCAAAGTGAATGAATAGAAGATGGAAGGAAAGCAACCACATACACGCTAGGATAATCTGGACTGTCGGTTGCCTGCGTGCCTTGTGTTGAATTATGTGATGAGTAACGACGATTACGAGCATACTGACTTGATGAAGCGATTGTTGCAGGTGAAATGTCGGAACCGGAATAGTCCAGCAGAATTCCTCGCCTTGCAACCGGCTTTTTGCGATCATTGTTGCCCTCGGCGGGTGCAGAATTTGCCGTACGTGAAGGCTCTTTGCGCGTTCTTTTGTAGAACGTTGGAGTATTAAAAACATTTCCTGTTGTCCCATCCGCAGCAGCATTCAAACCATTCGTCACCTTTGGAGGCGAACATAAACCGAATTGTTGCAATAGAGATGTGGGATGGGAATAGTCGGTATTGCTTGCTCTGAACGAAATCAAATCAATTCAAAGTACTATCAGCATTAATATTAACATGTGGTGTGACAAAAGGTAATATTAGCCGAATTAGCAACGAACACCGCTGCCGAGAAGGAATGCAATTTTTGAAGAAGAAAACACTTACGGTATGGAAGCACCATTAGCATGAGAGAAAATTTGCTCAAGTTCATCTTGCAAGCCAGATGCACCGCTCTCATCTGCAATCCCAGGCACCCCGGATAAAATAGCTGTCAATCCTGATATGGTTGAATTTTTCTGATGATCCTCTTGGTTCACATGTAATGTTTCTGTTTTTATTGAGCTGTTCGACGACGAATCGATCAGCTTTGAGAGCTTTTGACTGAAATTTATTAGCGTGCATTGAAACGATTTTGAAACTTTCATCCGAACTTTTATAAGTGGTCTTAAAAAGGGACAAATTTTGTGAAAATGAAACTTCACTTTAGATTCAACGAAATCTTCGAGTACCGCTTGAATTTACTTCGCTGTGAACAATGACTTCTTGTTCTCTCATAAATGAATCTTTGTGGGAAATCAATTATAAATTGTA